AAAAAAAAAAAAAGAATTACTAGAATAATTTCTACACCTGTTGTGTAATAGTCTCAGTGGTTTTCCCAGAGTTTTTTCTCATTCTCTAATATATGAAATGTTGCCTTTTCCTCATAAAATGTGCCTGCCTATCATGGGCGCCCGCAGAAAACTTTCTAGGGGGGGGGGGGCAAAAAAATCAATTAACTTTCCAGAGGAGGGGGCAAAAATTTTGTAGTAATGTTTTAATATAGTTTTAATTTACTGTAGCGTATTTGTATGGTGAAAGAACGGACAGGACATCAGCTTAGTTACTTTCTCTTTATTTTCCCTTTAATTTAATACATTTTTTGTCTATTTTTGTCTAAAATGTTGTTATCCAATCAATCCAGGGGGGCAAGTGCCCCTTGCCCCCCCCCTTGCGGGCGCCCATGCTGCCTATCTATATATATAATTCGCCATCAAAGGTCAAACACGAACACGGTTCAAACACCACGCAGGCTATTTATAGATAATGAGTTCACTAGCGCGCAAAATATAATTAATTCCCGATAACTACGCTATATATGATATATATAGTTTTTAAAATAACGTAATTGCGTTTGGTGCGTAATATTTTCTTTTCGGAAATGAAAGCGTCTCAATTTAAGTATTGTGTAAAAAAATATTCGGTTTAAAAGTGGTTGGGACATGAGAATATTAATATAGTTAGTGGGCGTGAAATAAAAAGTGTGCAGTGACGTATCATGGGGAAAGGGGTGTAGCAAATATTGGGATTCTTTTTAAATGTGGTTACTTGAGTTCACGTTTTTGTCAAGTAACTTTAGTAGATGGGAAGTTCACGTATTGCCGTCGCCAATGTTTGGCGGGCTCCATCTAGTAGTTGATAATAATGATTTTTTTTTAAAATGAAAAATGCGCTAACTTTTCTTTTGCAAGGAAAAGGCTTAGCTTTAATGTAATAGTTTGTATTTTTTTATTTTGCACACTTAGAATTTCAAAGCTCAGTAAATATCCCAGTTCTCCCCTTCCACTGATAATGCCCTGGATCAATAGAAGAATATGTGAACTTGTCAGCCTTGTTAGGAGCTGGAACTCGAACTCTCCTTTAAATTAATTGTTTTGTTGCTCCCTTGTTTTTGTTCACCGAAGAAGCTTTTTTGTTGATACGTCTGTCGTTTCGTGTGTTTTGTTTTGAATTTTTTGTTTGAATTTTTCAGGTCTTCCACTACCTTGAGATACTTATTTCCATGTTAGCATGCAGTTACAGAGCTACCGTTTGGCATCGTCTGATATTGACAGTGCCTTCTTAACAAGATCAAATCCCCGGGCCATGCAAAACATGGTAGCAGCGCGTGCTACTTACAACAAGCTGTCAGACTGAAGCCAGTAGCAGCTCCTGCTACACACAGCAAGCTGTCAGGATGAAGCCTGTAGCAGCTCCTGCTACTTACAGCAAGCTGTCAGGGTGAAGACGGTAGCAGATCGTGCTACTTACAGCCAGCTGTCAGACTGAAGACTGTAGCAGCTCGTGCTATTTACAGCAAGATGTCAGGCCGAAGCCGGTAACAGCTCCTGCTTCTTACAGCAAGCTGTCAAGGTGAGACGGTAGCAGCTTCTGCTACTTACAACAAGCTGATAGCTGAAAGAAACAATGATTTGAGAACGTTTATAACTCGGGAAAGGCTCACATATTTGGCTATACGGTCTATTGAAAATGATGTTACTTATCGACTAGATTATATAATATCATCAACGCTTTTGTTATAAAAAAGCCAGAAAAAGAAATTGCTTGAAGACTAGAATAATTATAATAGTTATGATATGACGCATTATTTTTTTACGAATTCAAAAATAGTTCAGTAAGGGTTCATTCACAAATTACGTCACGCTCGGGGCGGGGGGGGGGGGGGGGGGGGAGGGAATTTGTGACACTTTGGGAGGGGGGGGGGGGGGGGGAAAAAAGTGGGGAGGGTAAAAATTTTAAATTTTTTTTTTTTTTAGGGGGGGGGGGGGGGGGGGGGGGGGGGGGGGGGTGTCGAGAATTTGTGACACTTTGTGACAGGGGGAAGGGGGGATCAAAAATTGGTGATGTTACAAATTTTAAATTATTTTTTTTATTTATAAACTTTTATAATTTTGAAAAAATCTTTATTCAATTAACTTTAAAAACATTAATTTGAGGTCGAAATCGCCTCAGGTATTATAAGTACCGTGATACTCAGTCGCTCACACCTTCTGCACGTATCGAAAAATGACGCATCTTTACATTCGGCTGGGGGAGGACTTCGTTGTTTTGCGTTTTACGTCACAGTTTTCTAATAATACTACATCTTAATCCATTATGGGAAAATATTAGAGAATAAAATAAAATCTTAGTTTAGTTATGAAAATTGTATGTATGTTTTGAATTTTTTTAGGGGGGGGGGGGGGGGGGGGGGGGGGGGGGGGGGGTGTGGAAAGAAAATGTGACAGGGGGAGGGGAGTCTGAAAATGTCATTTTTGCGTGACGTAATTTGCGAAAGAATTTTGGTCGCCCCCCCCCCTCCCCCGAAAAAAATGAAATGACGCCCCTACTCACAAGGGGTGACACCAAATTTTTTTTAAAAGAAAAAGAGAAAATTTAACTGAGATTCTCCGAGTCGATTTCACGACCAATCGTAAATAAATACAAGTATTTTTGTTCTCCACCAGATCAAAAATACAGAAACTGGTATCAACAAAATGGCAGAGCTAGAGGGGTCAATAGGGAAGTCTGGAGGGGTGGGGACACACCATGAGTTTACCGCACTGGTAGACACCAACCATAGTGACGCCACTGTCCCAGTATTCTGGCTATTCAATGTCCAACTCATCGGCTAAAATCACATGTTTGTTGTTCTATCAACTACAATTACATGTTTGTTGTTCTATCAACTACAATTACATGTTTTTTGTTTATTCGTAAGTTTGAGGTTTGGAGCTGAAGTTGTGAAGTTCGCCGACATTTCACTTCGCTGGCATTTAATCAAGGTTCTCCCAAAGGCGTAGCTAAGCGTGTGGCAGATGGATACAGATTTCCTCGGGCGCCAGACTAGTTGGGGCTCAAAATGGACTTTGGCGATATTTTATTGATGAAATTATAGTTTTCAGAGTTGGAAAAGGGTTGGGGGGGGGGGAGGCGTAAAAATTAATCTTGTCAACTGGCACCAAACACTCTAGATACGCATCTGGGTACGCCACTGTGTGTATGCTTTATACGGCATTTATGTATAATGGTTTGGAATTTTTGGAATTTCAAAGTATCAAGGAGCATTGGCTTTACGCACTATTGGAAACCATAATAATATTTAATGATGTGTAGGGCCTATGTTTCTTTAATTAGTGTTACTCGGCGACATGCAGCGTACTGTATAAAACTGTGAAGTCTGAAATGTATTTGACATGAATTCTGCTAAAGAAACATATCTGATTAGTCGATTGACATAAATCAGATGTTAATTTAATTAATAGTTAAGTGTAGAACATTGTTGATATACTCATATATTTTCTTTAACACACACAGTCAAACGGATTGTTAATTTTGTTGGATTGTGGAAAGAAGAAAAATATACGCTGAAGTCTGAAGTGAAGCTGCCACATATTCTTAAGCGCTCTGTTTTTACAGTTTCTTTGTATTTTAAAGATGCTTATTTAATGATGAAAAGCTTATAATTTGTTTATTATACACATACATAAAAATACATATATTTATACACATATAAATAGATTATATATATTAAATATTTATATTATATATATATGTTGTTGCTGTTGTTCGTCCGTCGAAGTCGACTAGGACCATCGGGTCATCCAAAGGTTAGGGGGGAGGTTGGGTTAGGGGGAGGTTGGGTTACGGTGAGCTCGTAGGTGACTTGCTATACCGATCCGTGCTCGGAATAATCTTTGGCACCGCGGGCAGGGGATAGTTGCGTCAGGCAGTGACCTAAAGTTGCTCTTTCGGGCAAGCCTACGTGTCTCAGCTGTGGATATCCTATTAGCTTCATGGGATTTAGCCCCCTTCTTGACAGAAGCTCTCCACCTGGCTCTGTCCTGGGCTGTCTGCACCCATTGAGTAGGGTTTATGCTGAAGGCCTTTAGTGCCACTTTCAGTGAATCTTTGTAACGCTTTTTTTAAACTCCTTGGGAGCGCTTGCCTATCGTGAGTTATCCGAAGAATATCTGTTTCGGGAGCCGGTGGTCTTCCATAGGGCTACGTGTCCCATCCAAAGGAGCTGAGACTGCATCATAGTGGTGAAGATACTAGGTAGGTTCGCTCTAGCGTGGACCTCGGTGTCGGGGACTTTGTCTTGCCACCTGATGCCGAGGAGTTTCCTGAGGCAGGTTGTGTGAAAATGATTCAGTTTCTTGGGTATATATATATAAACACACACCTAAGTTAGAAATTTCCTACCATGTTGTTTTAATAATATGGGATGATGAAAATAAACGACACCGTTAGATAATTAAAAAGTATAACCACTAACTGGTGCTAAATTTAACTTTGAATCATAAGATTTTTAATACTGTGTGAACTGTATGTAAACAGTAGCCCTAAACATCAACTTGGTCACATCAGCCGGTCTTAATATTTTCATACCCAGAAAGTGTGCAATTTTATGAAATGGGTACGCGCTTGCCCAAATTAGCTATTATTATATGATCTGGCGTAAAAATTATATGTTTATTAATTTATTTATGCCTGGGGCCTAGTACTAAACTTGAAGGACTTTGACATTCAAATTATTATATTTATTTAATTTATTTATAATTAATATTTATTTAATTATTATTTAATTTAATCATTTATTATTATTATTTATAACATATTGTTACATATATATATATAAAATATAATATATATATATATATATATATATATATATATATATATACACTAATAAGGCTAAAGATATGTTCTCCATTAATTTATTTCTTTATGATTTTATGTAAAAAAAAAAGAATATATATTTATATATATATATATAAAAAATAATATATATATATATATATATATATATATATATATATATACACTAATAAGGCTAAAGCTAGGTCCTCCATTAATTTATGTCATTATGATTTTATGTCAACAAAAAAGTGGGGTCGGGTTGGAAATGTTTGACAATTGTTGACAAAGGGGGTTAAGGGTTTGATAAGTTCATGTCAACTAGTCAACAATCATGTTTTCTCTATTAAAATTGTTAAAAATTTTAATCTTAAAAATTGAGTGGTTATTACATTATTATTTTAAAAAATTTAATTAGTGTAAATTAAAAAATTAATATAAGTTTTAGGCTTTTAACAATTGACAATATAAATGTAAGATTTATTTAATGTTGTCTGTGCACTGCTGAAGGCTGGTCAGAATGTTAACACACTTTGTTAGTGCAAGAGAAGTCAAAAGTTAGCCTCTCTTCGCCCGTAGATTCTGTTTATCAAGGTTCAAGTGTCATGTGCAGTCAAGATAAATGATATTGATAGAGTAGGAATACATTTTTTGAGAATTAGTGGAATTTAAGTGAGTAACAATAATAACATCGCTTCCTAAACGGCTTTGCAAAATCTTTAACATCATAAGTCATATTAAAATAGCATTTTCAACAGCACCGACAACGTATAAGAATTTACCACCTGCTCCTCAACAAAAAAGGATTCGACTAATGCAAGTAGTTGCCAGGAGACAGAGAGAGCTTATTTTTATGGCAATTGTTGCTCACACAGACAATGCATCTATTTTAAGTGCTGAATGGTTAGATGAAGATGATGTTGACTTGTCTGGTATATCAGTTCCGCAAGATGAAAATGATAAATCAGCTACTACACCCATTTTTACGATAGAGCACCTGGCTACTCCATGGGAAGATAATAGCAGCTAGAAACTTTACTACAAATGTCAGCTATACTGACATAATCATATTAATATTTCCACAAACAATGATATTTAGTCTTTAACAAACTTTTCATTGATTCTGCATTATAAAATTTAAGTGTAAAAATTTTTTAACTTGTTGATTAACAAGCTAAAGATGCAATAAAATGTTTTTCCTACAATTTTGTGTTATTAAAATAGATCAGCACAAAGTAAAATGTATTTATATATTTATATGTATTATAATTCATTTTGGTGGGGGGGGGGTAATAAAAATGTTGACATAATTACTGGGGGGGAGGGGTCATTGAAAGTTTGACAGTTGTTGACAAAGAAGGGGGGGGTCAACAAGTTCTTAAACATATTTTAATGGGGGGGGGGGTAATAAAAATGTTGACATAATTACTGGGGGGGAGGGGTCATTGAAAGTTTGACAGTTGTTGACAAAGAAGGGGGGGGTCAACAAGTTCTTAAACATATTTTACGTAATTAATGGACGCCCCCTAGGCTAAAGTGTGCCGTGGCATGTGCAACAAAACTATTTATATATATAATAATAATATTTATATATTATTTGGACTTTTTGTTTGTTGTTGTCCTTGGTGATGATTCTGATAAATGATCAATATTAATATCCAATAATGACATGACATCTCAGTTGTCACATTTCATGATAAGGGAAAGTTTGGGCATGGAGAAAAACATGAAAAAATAAATAATTAATGAAATGGTAATTAAATTTAAGTCCAAGTGGCTTAAGTCTAAGGTAAGGGCGGAGAGACTGCATTCAGTTAGGTTAGGTAAAAGGAAATGAGCGAAACAAAGTATTACTAATACTATATGGGCATGGGAAAACCTGAGACGAAAAAAAGGACGTAACAAAACAAACGTTTTGGCAAGAGGCCTAATCAGCCTAATCTGATTGCAGTTTCTCCCCCTTAGCCTTAATACCATTTCATGATTTATGTAAGCCTATTAATTATACATTATATAATAGTAATAGTATTAATTATTTTAGTTATATACAAAAGTCTATTGTAGCCCTATAGTCTATAGTTGTTTATATTAATAGTAACTTATTATTATATTGAGTTATGCAACTGTATTAAGAGTAGACTGGAAAATATGACTATTGACAATCCAGTATGAGACTGCCTACTGCCTGGTGAAAGCCAAGATTTATATAAAATCTTTAGCTGGGAATGGACTGCCCCTCTGCCCCCCACCCCCTTCCTACTTTAGTGATCCTATGGCTACAAACTAAGCTCACAAGAGTTTAACTTGAAATGTCTCAATAAAGTAGTTCCTAAATAGCAGCTTTGTCATAGCCAATCAATAGCTAGTCCTAAAATACATAAATAAGGGAACTAAAAATAAATTTAAAAAGCCTGTTTACTTAATGATTATCCCTGTTTCTCTTGGATGGGGCAGCTGAGGAAAAAGTGTGTGGGGGAGGGGGGAGATTCATTTTAAGGTTGGTTCATAACTAATTGGTGTAATAAGTATTGTGAAGTGTTAGGGTCTAAAATTGAATGAAGTCATGGTGTGACATCTGTATACTTTTGCATCATTTACTTAATTTCAAGTTATATTAAAATAATTTCTGGCTTTGAATTGGATTAGAAATAGTTTCACTCTAAAGTACATATATAAATAGTCAAAGTGTTGTTACTCAAAAAAATGCTGCATTAAAATGTTCTATTGAAACTTAGTTATAAGCTAGTATTTTTTTACCAATGAATTTAAAATACAATACATCAATCTGTATTTATAATGTAAGATTAATATTTATAATTACTATACATGAGTAATATAATATTGTAAATGAATCGCATGTAATTTAAAATAACAATATTATATTCAATGTTTCGATTTTCCAGACCTTTTTTAAGAATTTAAGTGCTTCCTATTATGAGACCATCAGCCTCAACATGGGGCAATCGCCTCAGATACCTAGGTCAGCGGATGATACATCAGAAAGAAGTTTGCGAGCAAGACATGAAAACAGAACTTTGCCGATGTCTAACAACACCTCAGTTGACTCTCCTGGGTGTAGGAAATACAATTGGTGTTGGAATTTATGTTATGCTTGGGGTTATGGCTAAAGAAAATGCAGGTATGAATTTTAAAAAAAAAAGTATTAGTTAAAACTGTCAATAAGTTCTGTTTGTTAACATCATTCAGAATCTCATTCATGTTACCGGTACACGAAAGACTTGGTCCAGTGTAAAGCAATTAAGGACTCAAAGATGTAGAAATTCATTTGTTCCCCAATCTGTCAGAATTTAACAGCATCCTTCCCCATTAGGACATCAGAATGTTGTGAGCATGCTAAAATAGCATGGATACAAGCCTATAAAAGCACCCAATCAACATATTATGTTAAAAAAATAAAATAATCCCTCTCAATTTTGATATTGGAATGATAGAAATGATGTGTGATGATGAAGTATAGATGGGTTGTTTTTTTTTTACACTTACGAATACTTTAAAATGTCTTGTATTAAAATTTTCCTAACTTAAAATTGTTACCTTAATCTGAATGCCTACTGTTTGTATTTTAACTTTATAGGCTGAAAATGAAATTGTATCATGTACAAACCATTTTCATTCACTCAGATCAATAATAGAATCTTATTGCAGACTTGTTTACCCTCAAACTCTTAAAATCGTACCATATCATCACAAAATTGTTCAATACATTATCTTAACAGCTTAATAGTAAAAAATAAACATACAATATATATAATGTATACACCTCAAAATCGTACATTGTTCGCCAAAATCATAAAAGTAAACAGGTCTGTTATTGTCCTATCTTCTGATCTTATCAGTTTCAAATAATAAAGGCATTGTAAATTTGCAGGTCCAGCTGTGGTGTTTTCCTTTGTGGCTGCCATTTTTGTGACACTGATGAATGCCCTTGTGTTTGCTGAATTTGCCACCTACATTCCCCAAACTGGAGCTTCTTATGTTTATATTTACAAGGTACAAGCATAGAATAATATGATCATCATTTTTAAAAAAAGCAATTTGTACAAAGGAATGCTGTTCTCAGAGATCTTTAACAAAAATAAAAATTTTTTAAGAGAAGTTGCATGGGGAAAATGTAAAATTTTAGATTTATTTTATTTTAGTGTTTTTGATTCAATTTCTCCCATACAAAACTAATTTTCATTCGAACAACATTCCTTCTTACAAATTGGTTTCATATAAATTTCCAGATACAGATGATCATATAATTGAGTTATTCTTGTAAAGCTTCAACAGTCTAAGGGCGTCCATATATTTTTGTGAGAAAAGAGCCTGTAAATCTAATTTTAAAAAAAAATCTTGTACCCTTACACAACATAAGCAATGCTGGTGTCAAGTGCATTGTCTTGAACCCTGTCAGTGAGAAAGTACAGACAAAGTAAAGTCTTGTCCAGGTAACTGAACACTATGCCATGAGGTCGTTTAGCTTGTCAAACCAGCCAACAAACAAGTAGGCCTATAGCAATCTTCAGGCTAGAGCTGTTAAAGTAAAGTGGGATTTGGTTGTTTTTTTCCCCCCAGGTTTTTGGAGAGTTTGCGGCATTTCTTTGTGGTTGGGTGATGATAACAAGTAAGCATTTTCCATATTTATTAAGTGATTTTTAAAAAAACAACAACATTATTTCTGAAAAATGAATATGCCTTTTTTAGTGGAATCTTTTGGCAGCAGGATTAAATTAATTGTATGGTATTGTCTCTATTTCATTAAAAAAATCTCCAGTTTATCAATTTAATTCGATGCAAGTGAATTAATGTAATTGAATAATTAAACAATTTTGTTACTTATATTATTCGGTCTGCATTGGTCTCTAAAATAAATATTGAGTTTTTTTATACAGTTTAAAAAAAAAAAAAAATTTTGTTTGGTGAACAGTATATACAAAAATAGAAATTGTATTTCATCTTAATTTCAATCTATTTCTAGCGTATGCTTTCTCCAGTTCAGTTGGAGCGCGAGCTTGGAGTGGGATGTTGGACTCATTCTTTAACCATTCTGTTCAGGTTCGTGCGTGTCTGTCTTACATTTATTTCCTTTATTTATAGACACTTGTGTCTAAACTGGTAAGTCTAGATCTGTAGTTTTTATGTCATTGTAGAGTTATTCTCTTTATATTTTGGTTACACTTGACTACTGTTTTTTTGGAACAGATAATATCTTTGGGAGTCTTCATTAATTTAATGACAAGGAGTAAGAGTAAATTGTGTCACTGAACCTAAAATGCATTATTGACACTATTTTGTATCGTTGACCCTAAATTGTATAACTGACCCTAAATTGTATAACTGACCCTAAATTGTATAACTGACCCTAAATTGTATAACTGACCCTAAATTGTATAACTGACCCTAAATTGTATAACTGACCCTAAATTGTATAACTGACCCTAAATTGTATAACTGACCCTAAATTGTATAACTGACCCTAAATTGTATAACTGACCCTAAATTGTATAACTGACCCTAAATTGTATAACTGACCCTAAATTGTATAACTGACCCTAAATTGTATAACTGACCCTAAATTGTATAACTGACCCTAAATTGTATAACTGACCATAAATTGTATAACTGACCCTAAATTGTATAACTGACCCTAAATTGTATAACTGAATCTAAATTGTATAACTGAATCTAAATTGTATAACTGAATCTAAATTGTATAACTGAATCTAAATTGTATAACTGAAACTAAATTGCACAACTGACACTAAACTGTATAAGTGAGCATAAATGTTGTCATCTTTTAAAGAGGCGGTTGTAGCTCCACTGCTAAAGAAGGTGAATCTCGACCCAAATGTATTGGAAAATTATCGCCCCGTCTCCAATCTACCATTTGTATAGAAGATTTTGGAGAAAGTCGATCTCTGCCAGCTCCTGAATCACCTCACTCAGTGCGACTTGTTTGAGCCTTTCCAGTCAGCATACAGGGCACATTAGTCTACCATCACTGTATCACTCTGAAAGCAATCTGTCATCGAATTCGGAGTACCCCAGGGCTCGGTCCAAGGCCCGGTGCTTTTCACTATGTATGTTCAGCCCCTGGGTGCAGTTATCAAGCAGTTTGATATGCTATATCACATGTTCGTGGATGATACCCAACTTCTGTGCTCCCCTCTCAGTTCCCTCGGCTTCTTAGTATGACACAGAAGACAGTGGAGTCAGTTAAGCACTGGATGACTATAAACAAGCTTAAATTGAACAATGAAAAGACTGAGCTGATCCCCATTGCTACCGCTCAAAAGCTGAAATATATAACACACAAACCCTTACTCTCTCAGGTATACAGATAGAGTTTGCTCAAACAGTGCGAAACCTGTTTACTTAAACAGAACACCAACTATGGAAAATCACATTAACATGCTTTGCAAGGTGATTTTTCTAGAGCTGCGCAGAATTAGTCACATCAGACCTTTCTTAACATTAGACGCATCGAAGAGGCTTATGTCTGCATTCGTGCTATCACGCATGGACTATTGCAATGCTCTTATAGTGGGTCTTCCAGCTACGCTCCTGGATAAAATTAAAAAAGCGCAGAATAATGCGGCTCGAATTGTTCTTCGAAAACGCAAATTCGACCATGCTAAAACACTTCTGAGAGAGTTGCATTGGCTGCCAGTCCGCACTCGCATAGAGTATAAAATTGCAACTCTGCGCTACCGCTGCCTGCATGATCCTGTACCGTCCTATCTCAAAGCGCTACTTACGTCTTATGTACCTACTAGACAACTCTGCTCATCTGATAGTGGCAAACACGTGTTCGCCGTGAGACTTACGAGGGGCGCACTTTCGCATTTGCTGGCCCAACAATTTGGAACACTCTTCCTATCGCTATCAGAAACAGCCAGACACTGGAGTCTTTCAAAACTGATTTGAAGACTTATCTTTTTCGCAAACACCTGCTGGGGTGATGTTGTCTATCTAGCTATTATCTTTTAGATATATATTGGCCTGTGTTGTTTATGGTTGCAAGGTATGAAAGTCTTAGAATGGGTATTCTTGTATTTACTTTTGTAACATTGAATTTTGTACTTCAATGTGGTATGTACCGCGCTTTGAGCCTTTGGGGATGAAACGTGATTTTTAAATAATCTTTATTATTATTTATTATTATTAAGTATTCAGCCAATTAGAATTCAGCTAATTTTGTAATTTCACCTAATCGACTCCGTCCTCAAAATTCTAGATTTTAAATTTTCTTTGAAAATGTCTGGTTTAATCTTGGAAATCTTAGCATTCCTCTAGGCAGTTTTTTTTGTTCCTTCAGAGTATATATGTTTCAGATGATAAATATTTCTCTTGCCTGCAGGAACACACTGATAAAATTTTTGGGAAGATACAGTTTGGGATGCCCTTTGCTGAATCCTTGGACGTCCTGGCCTTCATCTTTCAGATAGGCATCGTCATCATCGTATCCTGCAACATTCTCTGCTCATCCATCATCAACACAATTCTCGGGGTTCTCACCTCCTCTGTGCTTGTATTTGTTTTTGTCATGGGTCTTGTGTATGGGGACGCTGAAAACTTTAAGAATACAGATCATGGAGGATTTTTCCCATTTGGCATTGCCGGAGTGGTGAAGGGGACATCCCTGGCTCTGTATGCTACGAGTGGATTCGAGGTCATTTCCATGTCTGCTGAGGTGGGATCCTGATTTCATAGCAATTTAGAACTGACATAGTTTTTCACTATTTAACTATCAGTACTTGAACCATTCAAAGAATTTCACTATGTTATTTTCAGTACTTAAACCATTCAAAGATTTTTCACTATTTTACTATCAGTACTTAGCCATTCAAAGATTTTCACTATGTGATTGTCAGTACTTCAACCATTCAAAGATTTTTCACTATTTTACTAAGATTTTCACTATGCTATTGTCAATACTTAAACGATTCATTAATAAAATGTCCATCCTTACATACTATTTTTACTTTTTTTTCTGTTGGACAGGAAGCCAAGAATCCATCAAAATCTATTCCCCGCGCCGTCCTGTGTGAGCTGCTTATTGTTGGCGTGGTGTACATCGGAGCAGCCATAGGAATGTTGTTTCTCATCCCTTACTATCTGATTGACACGCGATCACCTTTGCCCTCTGCATTCGAATACAGCAGTGTGTCCTGGGGAAAAATCATTGTCACCGTTGGTCCCATGTTTGGCATCACCAATCTCCAGATGTTGGGGGTGTACGGTCTGTCTCGGGTCATGTACAGGATGGCGAAAGATGGACTCTTCTTGGAGTGGTTCCTGAAAGTGAACAAAAGGACAGGTGTTCCCCTCAACAGCGTGGTGTGTGTTGGGTTCGTGACATCGGTCTCTGCCCTGCTCTTTGACTTGTCGTACATTGTTAAAATAACTGTGGTCTTGATGCTGCTCAGCAACCTCTTCATCGGCTCGGCGCTGATTAAGCTCAGGATCACGGAGACCGTTAAAAAGTATGAGCCCAGAAAGGAACAGGCGCCAGCAAAGAGTCTCAAAACAGAGCGCGACTACTATGAGAACGAAGTGGTTGTCAGTGAGTACGAGACCTGTGACAGCACGGAAAGCATTGACGCTGAGACCACAATAACCGACGGCAACGTATCCACTGACAACAGCATCCTTGTGGATATCAGTGATTCCCACAATGTGGTCAATGGTCTCTGTTCTGGAGACGGTCCCACAAGAGGAAATTTTGAAAATGAAGCAGTTATCAAAGAAGAGTCTAGTAAGCTGCTAGTTGATGAGAAGCAAGCAGGAAACCAAGATGTTGAAGACTTAAAATTGGGAGTGAGACCTTCGGTTGAATATGGGGATGATGAAACTGAAGATGAAACTCTGTTTCAACACCCTTCATTGGGCGCCGTCGATCGGGCGTCCCCCACAAGTGAGCATGAACTGACTCAGCCCAAAGCTGAAGGTGTGTCAGATGATTTTGTCACACCCCAAAAAACTCCGGAAGCCATCGTGAGGAAATCAAGAGTGGCCAGGGCCCTCTCCCCCTTCATTCCTGGCGTGATGCCGGTTAACATTGTCCTTCTGCTCCACTGGGTTGTGTGCATGTCGATAGCCGTCCAGACCAACCTGGGCTGGGCAGACATTACTGCATGCAAGCTCGTCAGTGTCGTCTCCATGACACTCCTTGTAGTTCTACTGATTTTCTTATCCTTTTTGCTGTCATCCCAGTGTGAGAAAACCAGAGCCCAAGGATTTCAGGTATCATCTTTTCTCTTGGTCAATTTTTGTGTGCGCAAAGTAGAAATCGGTTTTATTCCATTATCAGTGTGGTGTCCGTGTAGTCATTTGATACTAGTGAAGGATTACACAGTTTATTTCATTGACAGGAATTCAAAGGAAAATAGCTGCAAGGGTGTGTGCCGAATAGGTTTTGTTATTGTATGGAATATGATGTTTTGTTTCTCATGTTATGGAAACTCTGAAGTATACACACATTCACAGAGGTCCCACAGCTCCTGCTACTATAACACCCCCCTCCCCAAAACCTCCTTTAAAAATCCCCAACCTCCCCTCTTTAAAGAGCAAATCAAACGAATTTTTCCATCATATTTGGGTTTTGCAAAATATCTGTGCATGAGCAGTCTTGTATCTAGGAGAAAACATATCCAAAATTAAGGCTGAAAATAATAATTCTGATCCATGCTGTAAGTGGTGCTCAGGGCCTCTGCCATTTCTTGCCTCAACCCAGATACACCTCTGGGTCTGGTAAAAAAAAAAAAAGTTGAGCCTTGAAACAACAGAAATTCCCTTGGATCAACTTCTAACAATTATGTCCTTTCATTTCACTGCAGACTTCCCTGATGCCCTTTGTTCCAACATTGTCCATGCTGAGCAGCTCGATGTTGCTGTTTTCAGCAGGTGACCTCTCTGGTCTTATAGAAGTTGCTATCCTCATGTTCACAGGTCAGCTAGCAAGGCTTGTTGAGCCATTTAAAATTAACTTGTAGAGAGAAATGCCTTTCTGAAAATTTATATTTTTACAATTTAACTTAGCCGCGACTAAAATTTGTGTAGACTCTCTAATCACTTTTAAGCATTAAATTGTATAGGCTTAAAAAATAATTTTAGAAAGTGGATAAAAAAGTTCAGTCAACCAGAAATTTAAAAAGTTTTCATTTAGAATCAATTTTTACATTAAAGATTTTTCTGAATGTCTGATGAAATTTTTAACAATGTGATGATGTGCTAGTTTTTTTTTTAAAAATAGGGAAATAATTCCTCTGGGCATGAATCATTTCCCTTGTTCAGTTCAAATATTAACCATGGGAGTTGTAAATTCTATAGGCTATAAATATTCATCTATAAGTCCAAGGAAACTGAATTTCATAAAAATGATAAATGTTTGAATGTCCTGGGGAAACATCCTACCTAAATTAGACAAATCATTAATCCTCCTTTTTGGGATTATGTTTCAGGATCAATCATCTACGTGATCATGGTGCAGGTCAACTTCACAAGTGAGCCCCGTACACACAGGTCTGGAGACACAGAGGAGAGGAAAGGTTTGGTCGGGGGCAGTGGGGATGATGCCGATGATGAAATAGAATCAGATGAATTCTAAACATGAACTGATGACATAATTTAGAACTCTTGTATTTATTAAAGTTTTGTTTGGTATCAATTTATGCATTCTAATTCAAGCTATGCCCTGGACGTGTAAATCCTGGTGAAAAATTAAGACTTGTCTCGTCACGTTAAGTGCAGATGGTCATTAATGGCCAAGCATCAGCTGTTATAGCTGCTTCTGTCATTTTACGGCTGATAAAATCTGCCTCTACTAAAATTAATAGAAGAAATGCAAATCAGAAGGATGTTTTTTTAATGTATATTTTTTTTTAAGGCTGTGGCTATTCAGACCCGGGTGCGAGAAGTGAGAGTATTGGTTTATTAAAAAATATTTAAAAATTATTGTAGGGTTTGTAGGACAAAATTAGTTATCAAATGAAAGATAATTGAATGGACAATATAATTGTAAACTTACTTCTTCAGTTTAACTAAAATAAATTAAAACAAATGACATCTGAATAGCATTTACTCAAAATGGACCCAGACATGCAGCGCCGCTATTCGGAACCGGGTCCCTTAGACTCAATGCTATTCGAATGTCATTTTTGGTAGTTTATTTTATTTAAACTGAAGAAGTAAGTTTACAAACATATTGTAACCTTTTAAAAAAACTTTTAAAAATAGACTTCCTATCAACAACAAGTTTGACCGCACTAAAAAGTAGAAAATTAATTTGAAATATCTTAAAATGAAATGCAAAAGAAAGACTGTGCAGAAAGTTTTGTAAAAAAAAAATAAATAAAAATAAAACATTTAAGTTTTGTCTTCATTCATTTCGAATCCCCTGGCTGCATAGAATTTAATAGAATGCTCATCTACACTTCTGTACAGTCTTTCTTTGTGTAACGAATTTTAAGAAAAATAAAATTACCTCCTACTATTTTGTGCGTTGAAACTCTTCTTAGAGAAAATTTAAAAAAACTGATTTGTAGGGCTAAAATGTTGGCCCTGCAAAACAAAAGCCTAATCTATTGGAATTATTTCTTCATGAAAGATTTGGAAGATAGTTTTTTTTGCCATTACTCATGATAGTGATAATACAATCTACCACTTGTAGGAGTTCAAGTTCTAATATTGGAAGCGGAGGAAAATAGAGCGCTAATGAAATCACTTGGCATTATTTAAAGATATATGTAGGTCACCTATGAATGTTTTTTGTTTTGTTTTTTTTAAATATCAATAATAAACCCAAATAACTATATATTCTAAACTGAAAGAAGAATGTTTTGTTTATCTGAAAAAAACTTAATTAGATGTAGTAGAGGACCCCCCACAGTCAATGTGGGTGTGAGTTAAAGAAAGACAAACACTAGCACTGCTGAAAGGTCAAGGTCATATTCATCATAGCTCTTAGAATTCCAACATTCATACCACATGATTCCTTGTCCAGTTTGCTCTCATAATATCTATTCTCATTTGGGTCAGTTTTCAATATGCACAATTTATGTTTTTTTATGTTGATGTTTTAACTTTGATTTTATTCTGTAGTTTGAAAATGATGCGCCGGTCAGTAAATATTGCTTGAAAATTTTCAGTTATAGTAAGCTCATTAATGTGAACGATTGTATTAAAAGCTCTGATCATTTATTACAGATGTATGTAATTGTGTTTATGGGACACTGTCATTGGAGGTTTCCAAAGATAAAGCTATTGTGAAATATTCCATGACAATTTTTATGTTTTACAGCTTTAAAAGAATAACCTTAAACTTTAAATATTTTTTTAATTCTGTCCCAAACTCCTTATGATAAAATTTTATCATATTTTTAAAGTTCTTTTTCGTTATAGTTTTGTAAAGGATAAAAGTTCCCTAACTAACATCACTGAGTAATTTTATTAAAAAATTACCTACAGATCATGGAGATATTTATAAAAAAAAACTACTGTCAGGACTTTGTTGTCAGGCATGTTGCCCCAATGCATGCCAAAAGCTGATCAAGGAAAGACAGAAATGTTCCAGCTTTATGTGGGCATGTTTTCTTTGGATAAAGCGATTTTAAAAAAAAAATACGCGCACAATTGACACATTATTAATAATACAACTATAAGCTCAGCCACTTAAGAGCTGGTGAAGTTATTATTATAATTTGTGCAAAGTTCTTGCCAAAATGTGCCATTAACCGAGGCACCCAAATAATATCACAAGGTTTCCCCATTGTATTTACTTCAGAATATTAAAAAATTATAGGTTTCCCCCCAATATTTTTTCTGATCCTTTACACTGAGACAATTGTTAATTGTGGCCATGTATGCCATTTTTAATTTAACACTTTACACTGAGGCAATTGTTAATTTTGGCCATTTATAATTTAACAATTTATTGATCTTTCTATGTAAAACTGAAAGCTGTTTTATTGTCAACAAAATAATTTCATTTTTTGTTTGTTTGAATACATTTTTCTGTGATACTATTTTTTTTCTTTTTTTTTTTTAAATCCTCATTTAAAAGACTAAAAAAATTCATTTACACAAAGTTTTTCTCTAGTCATGTGATCCAAAGACTATTTATTGATTGGAGCAAATAAACCCATTGAATCATTACAGTGTTTAACTAAAACTTGTAACTTTCATTAAAACTGCCTAGAACTTTTTTTCTTCACAAATGATCCGGAGATTGCAGCGGTGACTTGCTCTAATTAATACCATTCCATTCCCTCATCAAATAATTTCAATAAGTTTTTATTTTACAAAATAATGAAACACCATGTGTCAAATGTTTAAAATTTAATCTTTTATTTTGTAGGATGTTTACATGCATAAATTTAAATGTATGGAAAAGTTTTTTTCTTTGAGGCAAAAAATTATGTGTCAAAGGACAAAATTTTCTGAAAGCCATTCATTTATTCATTTAATGTCATCAATAAATTTTGTATAGATAGTATTTTTTAATTCTTTATTTAAATTATTACTTTTTTAAAAAAAAAAATTGAGGGTAGACAAATAAATATAAAGGTTTAATTACAAGGCTGGACTGCTTTATGATGCTCTATAATTATTATATTTTTAAAATAGTTTTAAGGATAAGTTGCTAGTGTGATAAAGGACTGTATATAAATAAGCTGTATGCAGTAAATATTAATAGTTCTACAGAATTATCCATGTCCTTGTTCAGTAACATGTAGTACCCAATTTTTTACATTTGAATGTAAATACCAATTTTTTCATCAATTTATTTGTATCAGATCTGACTTCTTTTTTTATTTTTTTAATCATTCCGTCAAACCACATTGAAATGTCTTGATCTAATGTTGTTATTGCATCCTTCAGAGATTCTCAAACTACTTTGCTCACCTGCATCAAAGAGTCTAG